AACTTCACATCATCAAGCTAACATGTGCAATACCGCTCCCCAATAATACAAGTGTAATAATTGGATCATCACAGGGTCATTAAAAGGCGAAGACCATAACCAAAGAAAAACACACAAAAGCACTCAATCAGCTGGCATACTCAACTAATTAAAGTAATAAACATACATCTCGAATTCAATAATCAAGACTCCACACTTAATTGACTCAACAAACTTACTAACAAATTCCAAACACTTGACTCTTTATATTTAATTTAATTAATTTAGTTTGGAGTAAGCAATAGGCGAGGTTGTCCAATCCACCAAATCATTTTGGTCCCAAATGACCATTTAAAATAAAAGTTTAGCGCGATGCAAGAATGGGCGCAACTCCATTCTCACAAATTTAGTCTAGGATCCCATCTAACTTTCATTATAAAATAAAAATGTAAATACCAAAAGAAAAGAGGACATGTTGATCAAACAAGCCTCGAAAAGCCACGGGCTACCACCGTGTACCCCAACCCATAATTGTCAATACTCTAGAAGTGCACGCTTTCCAGAGTTTTATTGCTCATCCATGTTTCACTTTACGTGATTACAGTTTTAATTAATAGCCGACTCAATCAAGTAGACCATACATAAAAATCATACATCAATTCACTTTTAATCTTATTTAGGACAATGACAAATTGACCTTTAAATCCATCAAACTTCCAAATTATCCAAAATTGTTGAACATAGTCAACTCACCTAGCCATTTCGGCTTAATCCACCTTTACTCAACATACTAACAAGTCATGATTAAGTAATAAATAAAATAATAATAACCTTGTGAAATAATAAATAAATTCATTCCACTTAAACTATATAATTCCAATCCTTTAATAATCCAAATGTGGTTAACAAACCAATCCAATAAAATTATGCTTGTATCAACATTCCATACAAACAATTAATCCAATATAATTCAACATGCTTGTTTCCATAATTCCATACAAACATAATCAATTCACCAAAACATGTCTCATAATTATAAGCACATGCATAAATCAAAGGAAAATTTGCTAAAAATAACACCACCTTTCACCGGTCTTCCCTAAATAACACCACCTTTTGATTATTCCACAATAACACCACCTTTGACACACATCTGCCAAAAATGAAACAAAAAACCGGTCACCTATTTTATAGGTTACCCTGGGACACGTGTCCTAGTATGATTGATCAATTTTTTTATTTTTATTTTTGACTTTGAAAAAACTTAAAAAAAACAAAAAACAAAAAATTAACCCCCTTTCCCATGACTATCACCGGCATCCACCACCATTTGCCGGCATCCACCACCCCCACCAAGACCATCCACCGAAAACAACCCTATCCCCGGCCCCCGTCCTAGTTTCCGACCCCCTTTCCAGCACCCCCTCCCCTTTCCGTCACCCCCTCCCCTTCCCTACCCCTTTTCGGCACCCACCTCCCCTGCTCAACCCCTTTGCACCACCCTCTCCCCTTCCCGACCCCTTTACTGCCGACCCTTTCCCCTCTTCCCTTTTTCGATTTTGACCCCCTCCCTCCTTCCCTTTTCAATTTCGGCTTCCTCTCCCTAATTTTCGTAGGCTAGGGTTTCGGTGGTGGGTTGTTTAAGGATGGGGGAATGGGTGGAGCCGTGGAGGGGTGTCGTTCAAGGGAGGCGGAAGGCTAGGGAGGTCGATCGACGACGAGGGCGGGGAGAGGGGCGCCGACGAGGGCGGGGGGAGGGGCGCCGGCGAGGGTGAGGGTTGGGCAGGGAGGCTAGGTGGTGGTTTTTTTAAATTTTAACTTTATTCTAATTACTTAGGTTTTTTTAAAAAAAATAAAAATAATTGACCAATGACATTGTGACACGTGTCATAGGAAACCAATACAACAGGTTACCAACCGGTTTTGTTTCATTTTTGGCAAATACATATGAAATGTGGTGTTATTCTGGAATAATCAAAAGGTGGTGCTATTATGGGAAGACCGCCCAAAGGTGGTGTTATTTTTGACAAATTTTCCTAAATCAAATGTATAACCAAACAATTTCTATCCAAGTGTTCTCTAATCATGAAACTAAGTTCTTTACCTAAACATGATACTACTTACAACGAAGTAGACATGTACGTACCTGATAAATCATATTTATATAGTTTTATTTAGGCACGTTTTTGATATAATTAGAGCTTTTTCATAGGCTTCTTAGCCATTTTTAGAGTCATGTCTACATAAGTTATTATATGTCGCTCTATTACGCTCCGTTTGTGTTTTTCTTAATGTTCCAGGTGATTTCACAGTCATTTGGAAGCTTTTGAAGTGTTTAGAGATGATTCGGATGATATTTGAATGGAAATCGATGGATCGAGTTCATTGATCGAGGGATTTATGCTCGTGGATGTTGGCTCTAAGGATTTTGTGCATGGAAAATGAAAATAGCATACACAGGAGTCACTATGAACTTTACAAAAGTGAATTTGAGTTAGAAACGGGGAAAAACGAAGGTTTGCAAGGTATAAAAAATAACCTTTTCTCACTCTTTTGATCATATCTTGAGTTCTACAAATCGGATTTATGCGATTCAAGTTGCGTTGTAAACTAGACTTTAATATCTTTCCAATGATAGGTCACACGCCCCAAGAAGATTCCTAGAACAGAAGTTATGAGCATTTGAATCTAGCCGATGCAATCAGCCAACCGCAGGGCTGGCTGCGCCTCTGTCCCGCGCCCCCTCAAGGCTTCTGTCGCCACTGCCAGGGCGCGGGAACCACCCTACGGCCGCGGGTTTGGTCGGGTGATGATGAGTCACACATCCTTGCCTTTCTCGTGCCACGTCATCAATTGTCATCCAATAGCATTATAACTTATGTATTTATTTATTAATTTTATTTAGGATGAGGCAAAAAAAAAAAAAAAGAAAATATATATATATATATATATATATATATATATAAATACTTGAGAAGATTTTATTTTGCCTCTTTATGCTTTAATTTTCTAGATTAAACGTTTCTTGGTTTTTTCTCTCCATTGTTGAACCCTAGCTTTATTTCTCCATTAATTCAATCATCGAGGTATTTCATTTATTCTTTTCGTTCTTTATCAATTATGAATTCAAGTCTATTTATTTCTTTTGTTTTGTTTATTTCAATTATGAGTGAGTAGTCGTTTTCTAGGGCTAAGTGAGGAAAGCCATGTTTATACCTTGATTAATTATGCTTAATTATTTATAAATTTATGAATTAGGGTTTGAATAATTCCGATTGATTTGTGCTTTATTGTTTGATTCATGTAATTGGCCAATATCATGAGTTAATTATTTAGCTAATAAAAATTAGAATTGAAAGATCATATTTTTAGAGGCTTAATTACAATTGGCGAATTTGATTATGTTAGCGGCCGAACTACATATGTTAATTCGTAAGCGTTGATTCCCGACCGTAGGATTAACAAGTGCTTTAATTATTCGACCTAGTTTGTTTATTAATAGATTGTTTGCATTTCTTGGATTGGTATGAGCATGGTGGACCGAACGTATGCCCTAGACTTTAATTTGTCTGAGAACAACCTTATTTTCATTATTGTCATTCTTTAGTTAATTAATCATCGAATCATAATTCGTTTATAGAAATAGTTCATATAATTGGGCAAAAACTAATAGAACCTGTCTCCCTGTGGGATTCGACCCGTATTTGCTAAATCTCTGCTAACAACAGACACCGTGCACTTGCGGTATAACTTTTTATTCATCAAGTTTTTGCCTCGTATAAACAATCTTTTGTGTCACTTTTAATCACTTAAAAGTCTCCTAGAGAATAATCACCTCCTAGAAAACAACCAACAATCACAAATTAACACTTAAACAAATTTCCAGCAATATAAATTTGATTAAAAGTCCTTAAAACTTCATTAAAAACATGTTTTTATGCTTAATTAATCATTAGAAATTCGATAGGAACAAAAACCCCAATTTAATTGCTCATTAGAACCCTAAAATCCCAATTTCATGAAATTGAAACCCTATGTTTATAATTCATAAAATCTGAAAATTATAACATAAATATAATCTGAAATTTATAATCTTTATACCATCAAAATATAATTTTATACTAAAAATATAATCTTTATACTAAAATCAAAACCCAAAACAATTAAATTAACATCAAGCAAAATAATAAAACAAGGAGGAAGAAGGAGAGGAAGGCCACGTGTGGTGGCTGGGTTGGTGGTCGCCGGCGAGCAAAAGGCGGCGGCGGTAGCGGAGTCCGGCCAAAGAAGGTGGCGGCAGAAGCTATGGTGGGCAGCAGTGAGAGTTTTCTCACGTGAAGGAGGAAAGGAAAAGGAAAAAAAAAGGAAAAAGAAAAATAAAAATAAAGGAAATATAAAGAGAAGATAATTTACTAATTTTTTAGTGTGGGGAAAATTTTGGGGATGTATGGGGTATTTATAGAGGAGAAAGTTATAGGGTAAGTAGGAGTAATGGGCTTCATAAAAATAATGGGCCAAAAGAATGACAGTGGCTTAGCTTTATTTGTATTGACATAAGCTAATGATGGTTCATAAAAACCATAATGCAATAAAATAATTTTCCACCCAAAATAATTTAAAACTTTTTAAAATAAAATCCAAAAAAGTAAAAATAAATATTATAAATAAAATAAATTTTCATTTATAAAATATTTAAAAATACAGTGGATTACAATATATCCCTCTTAAAAGAAGTTCATCCCGAAGCTTAGAACAAAATCCCTTAAATTGTAAAGCTTTTGCATAAAGCCATTTTAAAATTTTCAAAATTATCTTGTTGGAATTCCAATTGTGTCATAATATCGACACTAATGACTTATCACCATCCCAATTTACGTACTTCACTAGATATGTAAACAATAAAATAGCTATAAAACGCATGAAAACACCATAAAATAGCATAAAATAAGGCAAAAAGCGCGAAATTATACGCATTCTACCCCCCTTAAAGAACAAGAGTTACGCCCTCGTAACTCACCTCATTAAATAACTCAGGATTTCTCTTTCTCATATAATCCTCGGCCTCCCAAGGGCTCATGTTTTCCTCAATATTCGAGTACACCAAATTATCATCAATAAAAACAACTACAAACTTACTCATAGAATACTCGATTCATTAAGTCTATAAATATTGCAAGTACATTGGTCAACCCAAAAGACATAATTGTAAACTCATAGTGCCCATATCTAGTCTTAAAAGCACTCTTAGGTATATCCTTATCAGCCACTCTTAATTGATGATACCCCGAACGTAATTCAATCTTGGAAAACATACTGGCTCCCTTCCCTTCAATTGATTAGACAAATCATCGATCCTAGCCTACAAATGATCAAGCAAAAAAAATAACAATGATGTATCCGATATGAGCATCCAATCTCCATCTCCCGAAAGGACTAATCTTCATCCCTACTAATATCATCAACATCCTAGAATAAAAAACAAAACAAACGAAGAAAAGAATTAGTAACTATGCAGTTCCTAATCGAACTCACAGTAGGACATTACAAATAAATCAAACAAATACACACAAATTACATAACTACACAAAATTGCAGCATAAATACATATAATTAAACGCACAAAATCGCAGCAAAAATGTACAAATAACATGTAAAAATAAACCCACGAAATTGCAGCAAACCCACGAAATAAACCCATCAAATCAAATGCAAACTTGTAAAGAAACATAAAAAAATAAACCAACGAAATTGCAGGAAACCCATAAAAATAAACACATCAAATCAAATATAAACTTGAACAGAAACATCAAAAAATAATCTGAACTACTACCTTAATTTATTTGCTCATGAAAGGTAAACAAAAATAAACTAAAAAGAGAAGGGAGTAAGTATGGCTTACAGATCTGAACGGAGGTCTTTGATGCTGTTTCATTCGCCGGCGATCTGATTGGGAGTCCGGTGGAGATTGGAGAGTAGGCTGAGTAGTGGAGAATGGAAACTAGAGAGAGAAAGTTTAGGGTTTGTAAATTGTTTTGATTTTTGTTTCTGATATGCGCCGAAAGTTGTGAATCGTGACTTGTGAATCTTGTATTATAAAAAAAATTTATAAAACGGATCCATGGATCTAGGTCCGGGTCTAATAGGATCTGGGTCTGGGATTAGACCCGGACCCAGATTCGTTTTTTCAAGCAGGACCCGGATTCGACCCGGATCCGTCGGGTCCAAAATTTGAGGACCCAGATCCGTGAAAAACGGATTTGGATCCACGAATTCGGGTCGGGTCCAAATCCACTGCCATCCCTAATCCTGGGTAGTGGGTACTTATTCTTTATTGTCACATTATTTCAGCTCCATATAATCAATGCACAATCTCATGCTCCCATCTTTCTTCTTCACAAAATACATCCAAAAACTTATTCACAATTGGAACTAGGGTTGTTCATCGGTCCAAGACCGAACCGGACCGGACCAACCCGGATAAGACCGAAGACCGAAAATTAGAATTTTAAGAACCGAAAACCGGACCGATTAAGTTAAGACCGAACCCGGACCGAACCGAAAGAATCGGTCCAAATTTTTTTTTAAAAAGAATATTAATTTTTAATAAAGTCAAGGAAAACACAAAAAAATATTGGAAAAACGATATTGTAACATCATTTTTGCGTCTTTTTTTGTATGTTTAGTGCAAAAAAAACTTATAAAGTTAAAGTATTCTAAGCTTATTAAGAATAATTTTAAACCTTATTTAAGGTTTCACACATATTTTTTATAAAAAAATCGGTCTGGTCCAAAACCGGTTTTTATAGGGTTTTGGACCGGACCGAAGACCGGAAAAATGAATTTCAAGACCCGAAAACCGGACCAATTAATTCGGTCTGGTCCGGTCCGGTTTCGGTCCGGGGTGGTCCGGTCCATTTTTTCTGTCCGGACCGATTTATGAACACCCCTAATTGGAACATCTTCCACATCCACCTTACTACTCATTTCCAAGTCTTGCACACAACAAAATAACAAAGGATACTTCTTGCTTACAAGTTTCGACAACTTCATTGCAGAAATAATCCCAATACCTTTTGGTTTCCCAAAATCTCTGTAAGACACTTCCTCTCCCAAAGGACTCCTTACATAAACCTTCTGTATCTCATAATCAATCTTAGCTTTATAGGTGGTTAAACAATCTATTCCCAAAATGACATCAAGGTCACCCAATTCAAATTCTATAAAATCAGATAGAAAATCAGTCTCTCCAATCCTCAAAGGTAAACCCTTATGTATCTTGATGCACCTCACAACCTCACCAGTAGGCAAACTAATAAGCAAGTCAATCGAATTTTGTTCGACTAGTCCTAATTGTTTCACAACAGAACTAGAAATAAAAGAATAGGTGGCTCCAGAATCAAATAAAGCTTTATTAGAAATAGAATGAATAGAAAAGTTACCAGTGATAACGCCAGAAGACCTTTTAGCTTCCGTTTTGCTCATCACAAACAAACGACCTGAATTAACATTCTTTCCTTGATTCCCGGAGTTGTTTTTGCCAACATTTCCGTTATTTCCATTCCCATTATGACCATTCGAATTTCCTCCTTGATTGCTTGTTGAAGTAAACTTATTCACATTCCCTTGTTGCTTTAATTTGGAAAAACACTCAAACTCCCTATGACCCTTCTTGTTACAAAATCTACACATAACCAAGTTCCCATCACAATCCTTTCAAGGATGATCCTTGCCACATCTTTGCAGTTGTAATGTCTCTCAGCTTGGCCATTAGTTCTAGATGACCCTCCATTGTTCTAAACATTCCTATTCTGGAAATTCTTGTTCCTTGGCTTCTTAGAGTTACCACTTGGTCACTCGAATTTCCAAAATTCTTACGCTTTTCTCCAACACTTCCACTCTCAGGTGCACTCCTGACATTCAGACCGTACAAGTGCGCTGCTCTCCCATAAACCTTATCAAGAGTCTTAAAGGTCTTTCCAAACAAGTCTTTCTGTAGCTGCTTAGTTAAACCTTGCTTAAATATTTGAGCCTTTAACTCCTCAGTAGGCACTACTTCAGGAGCAAACCTCGACAAGTTCATAAACTTGTTATAGTACTCAGTAATCAACATATTGTTCATTTGCAGATTGATGAACTCTTGAGCCTTTTGTTTCCTTAAGAATGGTGGATAGAACTTCTCCCTAAGTTTGGTTTTGAAAGTCTCCCAACCAAAATTAGCCTCAGCACGAAGCACGTTTCCATTATCCCTCCACCAAATATCTGCCTCTTCCTTCAAATACATGGCAGCTTGATCCACTCTCATATTCTCAGGGCAATTCAAAGCAACAAAGATCTTATCAAACTCCCTAATCCAATTCTCTAGAAAAGTTGGGTCTACACCTCTGTAGACACCCATTTGTGTCTCCCCAAAACCAAAACTCGGTGATGAGTACCTTTCATGTCGAATCATAATCGAATGAAGTGAAAGTGTGGAAAGTCTAGTGTTGCGGATAGTTTTAATTCCTTTTCTCTTCTCTCTGTTTTTGAAAACCTATTTTAAGAAAACAGCCAATCCAGTTCGGTTGGTCCATGATATGGGTCCATTAATCGTGTAGTTGGATGGGGCTTGAAAAGAGCTTTCCAACGATATATTATAAGCCCAATTCCGATGAATATTGAGGAAATTGTGGGCAAATTACTAAATTGGGCCTGGTTTGAGCCTTATGTGCGGCCCAATGATCTAGAGGAGGGCCTAATATGGATTTATCATTCCTAATGCATTTAGGACTGGTTTTAGTCTTCTAGATTTATCTAGAAAGTTCTTTTCATTCCTAATTCAATTAGCGTTGATAAATTGACTTTTGTTGACTTTTTGAAATTTTAATTAGAATAAAAGAGTATTTTTGAGGAAATAAGATTTTATCCTCCTATACGGTTAAATTTTATCTCATTTTAGAAAACGCGTCTGTAGGGAATATTTCAAGCGTTACCTTAAACTTGAACCCCACTGTGATCATACACTAAAGTACGGTGGCGTCCAAAGGGAAAGAAGATAGTGCAAAAGAGTCGCCAACAAGTTTTTTAGGAACTTGTAAACCGTTCACGAGGTGAAGGTTACACCCCTTAACGATCCAAGAGATCGTCAACTCCATAAGGTCTTGAACCAAATAGGGTTCGAGGATGAAGGTACAAATCCAACCTAAAAGAGATTGAACCTGCCCTAATAATAGGCCTCTACTTTATTCTGATCGTATTCATGTGCGCTGTCTGACTAACATGCAATCAATATGATTAACCCTAAACCTGTTTAATCTACGTTGGTTGAATATTAATGCACAAATAAATCTATTATTGGCGATCACTTGAATTATAATCAAATTAACCCTAAACAAGATTATTAATTATCTTATTAAGCGTGATTACAAGTACTAAAATTCCCTTTAAACATGCATAAAAGGTGTGATCAAACAATAAAAATAAATAAGCATCAAGCAACATAATAAACATCATAACAATAATTATAATCATAATTGAAATAACAATCATAATAATTAAATTAATCATGTTAAAGCATAATAATAGCAAGATCCTAGGCATGATACTAACAAGATTAATAACAAAACCTAGCATGTCACTAAACATATAAAAATCTAAGCTTTAACCCTAACATGATACTAAAAATCATAAATATTAGGAAGAACATAAAAGGCATCATACTTTTAATCATATATACTTGATATTAAAGTTACCCTAGACATGATACTAGGAATCAAAATAACAATCTAAGCATGATTTCTACATAATAACATCAATAAATCAATTAAAGTACTTACTTGGATGCCTCGTACCACTTTCTAATAACAAAATACACACGTTAGTAACTTCAAGGAAAATATAAAACAAAACAATTAAATTAAATAATTGAAAGAGAGATTTGGGACCAAACCCTCAGAAATTAAACCTTTCACGTCTAGGGCGAAGGCAACTTCGAATATGGCTAGGTGTATCTAAGTCTTGCGAATGCGGAATTTTGTATTTGAGAGAAGACTAGTTTAGAAAAGTGAGAGAGAGTAATCAAGAGAATCTTAATGAGAATTGGTGAATATTGGAAAGAATAAGAATTGATGATTGAAAACGGAGTTTTTAGGACGTTATTCATAGAAAAAATCAGCCAAAAAGATAAAACATCAAAAACAGAGTTCTGACGCAAAAAACCAAATTAGCGCCAAACGCTGACCTTGGCGCCAGACGCTAAGGCTAGCGCCAGGCCCTACAGTTGGCATTTGGCGCTGACTCAGAAATTCACGCGTTTTCTTAAAATCAGATAGAAATTGCCGTACAGGAGGATAAAATCGTATTTTCCTCGAAAACGTTCTTTGATTCTGATTAAAACTCTTAAAAAGTCAACAAAAGTCAATTTATCAATGCTAATTGAATTAGGAATGAAAAGAACCTTCTAGAAGAATCTAGAAGACTAAAACCATTCCTAATTGCATTAGGAATGATAAATCCATATTAGGCCCTCCTCTAGATCATTGGACCGCATATAAGGCTCAAACCGGGCCCAGTTCAGTAATTTGGCCATAACTTCCTCAATATTCATCGAAAAATGGGCTTATAATATATCGTTGGAAAGCTCTTTTCAAGTCCTATCCAACTACACTACTATTGGACCCATATCATGGACCAACCAAACTGTATTGGCTGTTTTCTTAAAATAGGTTTTCAAAAACAAAGAGAAGAGAAAAGAAATTAAAACTATCCGCAACACTAAACTTTCCACACTTTCACTTCATCCGATTATGATTCGACGTGAAAGGTACTCATCACTGTTTGGTTTTGGGGAGACACAAATGGGTGTCTACAGAAGCCCCCACTTTGACTGAGTTTGGAGAAACGCAAGTTTCGAAAACAAAAGTCAAAGTAGCGATAGGGACGGAGAATGATTCAGAACGTTCTGCGATCCTAAATCACTCTTGTAACGCCGATACCTGCAAACTAGCGTTAGTTAAACAGATAAAAGAGTTAATAAACGCATATCTTGCATCGTCGAGCATACGTCTCTGAAGTAACCGATTTGCTGCTGCTTTACTGTTTTGATGACCTCCTGCCAAGAGAATGTCATTCCGCTTGAAAACCGCTACGCTTGTAACTGCTTCAAATATTGAAGATTGCTTCGCTTGAAATGATCCTCTTCCGCTTTTGTGACCATCTTCCACTTCTAAGGGAACATGATCTAAGATAACTTCGCTTGAAATCACCTTCAGTTGTTTGTGACAACTCTCCACAATCTAGGGAACGTCATCCTGCTGTTTTGATGTTCACTCGTCTCTAAACAAAGAGCTTCTTTTGGATATGTTCACGCGCCTCTGAACAAAGAGCTTCTTTTTTTTAATATGTCCACGCGTCTCTAAACAAAAAGCTTATTTTTTTAATATGAACTTCTGAATGATGTGTCCACGCGTCTCTAAACAAAGAGCTTGATAATAGGATGTCCATGCATCTCTGAATAAAAGAGCTTGAAAGAAATGTCCACGTGTCTCTTAACAAAATAGCTTTGATGATATGCCCACGCGTCTCTAGAGAAAAAGAGCTTGAAAGAAATTTCCACGCGTCTCTGAACAAAAGAGCTTTGATGATATGCCCACGCGTCTCTAGAGCAAAAGAGCTTGATGAAAATGTCCACGCGTCTCTGAACAAAAGAGCTTTGATGATATGCCCACGCGTCTCTAGAGAAAAAGAGCTTGAAAGAAATGTCCACGCGTCTCTGAACAAAAGAGCTTTGATGATATGTTAAGTCGGGCTTTACAAAGGGTATTTATATCCTTTAATTAAGAAAACCCGAAAAAAAATAGGAAAACGCAGTCTTCGACACTCCATCCGGTCTGACCGAGCAAGGTTGCCCGGTCGGACGCGAGAAGCAACTCCTTTTTGCGCTTCTTCATATGGCCTCTATTGTACAGTTCTTTGTCTGCCCGGTCTGCTAGGGCAATGCTGCATGCCCGGTCCGGGCGGACAAAAGCTAACTCTTTGTACTTTCTCTCTCATGACTTTTCTTCTTTCCATCTTTGCCCTGGCTGGCAGGGCAATGTTGCCCTCCAGGGAGGACACGGGTAAAATTCTCCTCCATCTTAATAAGCTCTCATGGCTATCCAAAACAAGTCCAAATCATCCAAAAATCTTCATTTGCCTTCAAAATCAATTAAATAGACCAAGCCACACTAGAGAAGAGAATATTAGCGAGAAGTAAACTCCGTATAGCTCAAAAACCATACGAAAATAGCTATAAAATGAGGGTAAAATATGGTATAAAACGTGTACATCATAGAGCAAGCCCCATTTGATCACAATTTTTTTTTTAAAAAAATGCAAATTAATGGAAATTTCTCTAATAAATCAACAATGACTTTACCCAATCAATCTGGTATTATCTTAATCAGATCAATCAATTTAGAGCCTACATTTAATAAAAAAAAAATTGGCACTTGATTTGCATTTTATTATCTTCTCTATGAACTTCGATTTTCCTTGTCATGTGTTCGGTTAGCTAATATTCAACTTGAATTTTGAAATTAAGTCATGATGGTTTAAGGAGAAGAAAGAGGAAAAAAAAGAGAACAAATCAGTGACAGTGACACTTCTCCGTTATGACTTGTTTATGAGGATGCTAGCTTAAGGCCCCATTTTTTAGAGCTGCTCTGCTCTGTTCT